GTTATTAACCGAGTAGAAAAACATAATTAATATCAATTACATGTCTCACAATATTATGTAATTATGCAGAAAAGTCAGAAAAGAATTCCTATCATGTTGAAATTTTGCACCATAATGGCAACATTTGTTAACATAATTACTAACTTAAAATGCTATCATACTAATTAGTTTCTGTAAAGGGGAAGTAACTTAAATAAACGTTCAAAGGAATTCTGCGGAAGTTAGCTGCAACCGGAAGTGTAGGAATTTTAAAAATAATTATTGCTCACGGTATATTGCGCCATTTACATCAAAAGAACGTTTAATTAGCAAAGTAATACAGATAACGGTTATCGATCTCTAGGAGGGTTATTGTATATTGATGATATTTGAACCATAACAAAGAATATGGCGGGGTTAAACATGTTTATACTTATTTAAATCTATGGTGTCATGTTGCAATAATTACTTTTGACATTTCATATCATGTCCCAAGTAACATTAAAAAAGTTTAATATGCCGTAGCAAGTATCGTTTAGAGAACTAGTATTTGAAAAGTTTTAAATATACTAATGGGAAATTTAATATGTTCTACCGAATTCCTAAAAATGTATCTTTATATTGTCTAAAACTATCTTTTCTTATGCATTCCTGAAAACTTTCACGAACTTGTGACAGGGAAAGAGACATTAAAACCACATCTCCTTATTTTCATATTATACTTTTTGAAAAGCTATCTACCAATTACTTTGAAAATAGATTTCCTTATAATACTTTTGATAAATTGTTTTTATATAATTCACATAATAAACTTAGTTGATGAGATATTTTCGATTTAGCTGATTATAGTATAATAATTATACTTACATCTTTTTATGAAATGGGAATTTACACACTTAGAAGTTCCAAGTGGCCTAAAGGGACAATTGGTTTCGATGTGCTTCTAGAAAATAAAGTTGTCGGAATTTAGTATTTCCTGATCTCCTTTTATTTGTAATTGTAAGATTATATCTTGCTACTCTAGTTCAGTGTAGTGGACCTGCTATTTGAAATGAATAAAATAGACATAGCACCTACATGTACTTAACCTTTAATTGTACCTCGAACAAATTATGTTATTTTTATCAATTGATCGTTTAATTCATTGATCTTAATTTTTTTGTGTGTTACATAGTTCCAGTTTTCAATTTCAATAACTGGCCTGGACTACGAATATCGGATTTGTAACCTGTATTTTCCGATTTAATATTATTATAGTTAACGTGGTGGGGCTCGTGTTGCTCAATCTTTAGTTTTCTGTTGAATGTTTTGTAATTTTTATCTTTTCGTCGTTATTTTTATTTTTTTTTGCCATGGTAATGTTTGTTTTCATAAAACAAAATTTAAGTATGTTTTTCGATTTGCCCCTTAGTATGGTCTCTCTATTTTAACGTTATTTATTTTTACAGTAAAATTGTTTAATGTACATGTAAATCAGGTTGATAGTTTTTAGTTTCGTTTCCAAGGATAAAACATTGATTCATGCTTGTCCATGTTCATATACTAGTAACGCTCTTTTTCACTTTGTAAAAAAAAAGCAATGCTAAAATTCCAACACAACATGGGGTACAGGTGCTTGACGTCTCAATTGAATTTACAACGTCAGTTGTAATGTGAACGACACTGGGGATCGAGAAGGCAGCTCCATACTATTATATTCTATGAAATATATAAAACAAAAATAAGTCTCTGTGCTTGATAAGTTTATTTTGACACCTTTTGAAAGTGAAATAATTGGTATCTTATATCTTGATTCCAGCGTCACTGATTAATCTTTTTTAGACGAAACGCGCATCTGGCGTATAAAATTTTAATCCTGGTATCTATGATGAGTTTATAATGAATTCTTTTTTATTACACCTTTTATAACGTGACAAGTAACTTTGTAAATATTCACATATTTATGAAAGTCATTTTTTCGGTGTTATAAAAATGTGACAAGTAATGTTTCATATACGTTGATTAATTGATTGTTTATTGATTGTTTAACGTCCAGTGGCAAATCGTTAACAATACTTTCTGTAACATAGTTGTTAGATGGGTTCTTTAGTGTGCAAAGACCGTTGCACTCTCCCAGTGTGAGGCATCAGATATTACGTCTGCATTCCGACCGGACGTGCATGCACATCCAAAGAGAAGTACATACCTTGGCATTGGTTTTACTGCCTGCCGGACGAGAGAAACCCTATTTCTATACAGCAATCAGCCCTTGTGATTGTTTGAGAATCATCTGTCTTTTAAAACATGTTCTTAATTTTTTTTATGTTAAGGATGTTCGCTACTCTGTTTCAAAATAACAAGTTTTTTATAAGACTGTTATTAATTGAAAGTATATGAATAAAGGAACTTAAAAAGCAGAAAAAATTGAAGGGTCCATGTGCTTGTTTTCGAGGTATAAGCCATTGAACATTTGGCGGGAAATGATTCTCTCTATATTTTTCATTCATTTAACATTGCCACATTTTTTCTTTCAAAAGCAATGGAAAAATAACAAGGATTTTATAAGATTTTCAAATAAGGCTTTTGAAACTATATGTAATAAAATTATGAAAAGAAAAGTAGAGGTTAGCAGGCAAAATTTTTAATGGCACTACATGGTTCATCTGACCTTTATCTGATTTACATAGATCATTGATAATGTTAATTTTATATAACACTTGTTGTAAAACCTTTTTCTCCAACATTTTTGTCATCAACTCAATCATAATCTTTATCGCAGGTAAGACATTTCAGTGTGTGTACTTTTGTTTTGTATTACTGAAAAATGAACTAACTTTTTTACAGTCAACATTACACTTTTAAGCAACAGCAGTAAAACCATAGGATTCCGAATATCTGGCAAAAATATCAAAAACAAAAGGAGCGAACATCCTTGATTTATATGAAATAAGGGGATTGTGTGTACTAACATACATCATATTCATTAAAACATTTCAATGGTATAATATATATGTAAATTACAGCGTGATGGTTGTCCGGGAGTAATGTTTAAAAAAAAAACAAGAAAAATCCACATGAAAAATTACATATTTCAACATAACAAATGTATAGTATGACTATGTCTGTCGTCGTATTCTTCATCTGTGAATACTTTGGTGAAAGGGTAATACATTTTAGTTATCAGCAATTAAATGCATAGAAATTTTCAGACCAGATTACCTAGTTTTGATTACAGTAGATTCAATATTTACAAATAACACAAGGACAAAAAATGCATTCCCGTTCATCATACGTAAGTATGTGTGACTATTTATTTTTGCCAGGTGTTGTATGTAGATTTGTTTAAAGAGCTGTCGTGTACGCTATAATAAAACAATGGAATTACTGGTTAGAAGGTGAATAGGAAAAAGTAAAATAACAAAAATAACGAACTCCAGGGAAAATTCAAATCGGAAATTCCCTCATCAAATAGCAAAATCAAAAGCTCAAACACATGAAACGAATGGAAAACAACTGTCATATTCCTGACTTGGTACAGGCATTTCCTTATGTAAAAAATGGTGGATTAAACCTGGTTTTGTGGCTAGCTAAACCTCTTGTATGACAGTCGCATAAAAGTTAATGGTCCCTTCTAAACCAGTCATTGCACTCAGCTTCGCATTGAGCAATAGTTGGCATCTCAGGGAGAACAAACTGGCCATTCGTTTTATTCCGGGCGTTTTCAGTTTATTTTCGACTCATTAGTTTGAATTTCTCTTTTGTATCTTTCGCCTCTCTTTTTCAAAACCAGTCAACAAGTGGTTACTATTGCGAAGACATGAAACTAATTTTTAAGTAATTTCTAAAAAGGAATTGTGTATTCACAAACTTTAATTCGATCTTTTCAAAGAAACACGTCATGTAAAAAATTATACGAATTATGTATCAAAACAAATTCAAATTTTTATAACACTACCGAAGCTCGTGTGGTTTGATCAAACTAGTTTACTCGATCAAGAAACATAATCACACAAATGATGCAATCAACCTAACATGTAATTTTGCAGTGAGGCGAGGCAACAACGAAATATGGAACTGTGACTGCATTACTTAATTAAGTTTTATCTTTGTTTAAATGTAAAAATATAATCATTTATTGGAAATTGAATTATCTTGTAATTTTGTGGTTATTCTTGATTCACAAAAGACGATGTATTTGTGCATACTTTGTTTCACCTGGCTTGTCTCATGGCAGACATAACATCGCAGCATGAATAGTTACGCAATAAACGGTACCTGTCGGTTCCAATTCTCCGTTAAATTAAGTACGTCTTATTTAACTGTACTGTCCTAATTGTTAAAGCGGTATGATTTGATTTAGACGTATTAATTTCCTGAATGCAGTGTGCAGATAGTTCGGAAATCAGTTATTACGTATTGTAGTCTACATTAACTCCTCTGTGATTGAATGTTTATCGAAAAATTACTGATATTACCTAGAAATTTAACGTGCTAAATGATATCTAAACATTCCCCTTTCCGTCTTTAATAATTGTACGTGCAGAATTGCCTTTTTGGTTTTGATTAGTCTGTTTAAGCCATTTTGAATTTTGTAATCTCTATAGCGTTTATAATTCTGGATTTCAATTTCAACATATATTGTGGATATAGAAATAAGAAGATGTGGTATGATTGCCAATGAGACAACTCTCCGCCAGGGAACAAATGACATAGGAGCATTGTTTGTCTTTTCATCTGCTATTTTGTTGATAGTGTGCATTCTAATTACCACTTTGGTATCTGACATTTTTTTGTATGATGAGGTTTTTAATTTGAGTTCCTTACTGCATCTGAGTTATTCAAAAAAGGGTATTTTACAGATTTCCATCCACAAATTACGTATGCATCAAAAACGGTATGTTTTCTTGTTATGGTCATGTCACTCATAATTCAAACATATTTTATACATACTAATATACTATACTCAAATTATAAACCTTGCTAGCAAATTGATGGCTATGTGTAACTCTAAAACTAATATTTTTATTTGTTTCTGTTTTTAGTGGAAGGCTACATTGGTGATTTATGTACGACAGACGATGATTGTACTGTAGTCTCGTCAGAATGCAGAGCAGACTGTTTGAATAATACTAACGCTAATACATCTGAATGTTCAGAAAAACGGTGCATGTGTGCATCAGGTTACAGTTTTTCACCAACGGAACATAAATGTTTGGCAAGTGAGTATTTTTCATGGTTTTTTTACTCGAATTTATATATAAATGTTGATGTCGATGCCTTTCTCATGGGCATAATGCCATCAATGATGATATCGGAAGATACCAAGGGAACATCAAACCTCATCAATCGAAGAAATACTGACAACGCCATTGCAAAAAAAAACTATAAAAGGACGAAAAAAACAGACAAGTCCTCATAACACTACATAAAATGACTGAGCAACACGAACCCTACCATAACTGAGGGTGAACTTGGGTGCTCCTGAATGGTAAGCAGTTCCTATATTTTAATAAATCGTTGTCAAATCCTATCCCAGCATCCCAACTTCATAGATCACAAGGTGTTTCGAACATCTATTTAGACCAATTAGAATTAACTAATTGACCATGGCCATGTCCATCGTCAGGAGCCCAAGCCATTGCATGGTGTCTGTTAGCATGTTCAAAAAATTGTGCTATTTCAAATAAAAACTAACCGCAAAGAAATAGCGCGATAGTAGTGAAAGTGGCGTTAAAACACCAATCAATCAATCAATATGCGTTATACTAAATTAATTAAACATACCTGCATCGCTAACTTGACAATGTTTATGTCACTCTAACGAAGAAATACCTATTTTTAAAAAGTATTAACACATGCTTAAGGTTACATTCATAACTCTCATCCTCGTTTTAGTGTAAGGTTTTGAATTGATTAACAGTAACATTATACATATAACACATAGCTGAGAGGGTGATAGAGCAGATTGTTACCCCGAGAAAACATTGTCAACTGAGGCGAAGACAAGGTTGACAATGTCTTTTCGAGGGGTAACAATCTGCTCTATGACCCTCTCAGATATGTGTTATTTAATTTTTATTATACTGAATGTTCTGTTATTAATGTCTATTAAATTTCAAATTCAAAGTAATAAACTATGTCGTCTTGTACATAACAATCATCCGTATTTATTAAAGCGCACACTGGAGCAAGCGTCTCCGTGAAGGGTAATAGAGTAATTGCCATGGGATAGAGTAAATTGTCTCCCTCGTATTAACCAATCAAAATCTGGCATTTTGACATGAAGTATAATAATACAAAATGGCCAAACACATTGCCGAACTACAGTGGCTTAACCGTTGTATCCTGTAATCCGGGTCCGAAACACATTATTTTCATCAGTACATTTAAAAATAAGATGTGGTATGAATGCCAATGAGACAACTCTCCACAAGAGAACAAACGACACAGAAATAAACAACTATAGGTCACCGTACGGCCTGAACAATGAGTAAAACCCATACCGCATAGTCAGCTATAAAAGGCCCCGAAATGACAAATGTAAAACAATTCAAACAAACGAGAAAACTAAGGCCTCATTTATGTATAAAATAATGAACGAAAAACAAATATGATATACAGCAATAAACGACAAGCACTGAATTACAGGCTCCTGACCTGGGACAGGCATATACAGAATGTGGCGGGGTTTACCATGCAGTGACAACCTGGGTCAATGGTATAACAGTACAACATAAGAACAAACTATAAAAATCAGTTGAAAAGGACTTAGCTGAGTTTGTTTGAGTGAGGGTTTAAATGATGTTCAATACACTGATTTTTATATGCTTTCATTTGTTTAATATAAAGTGGTACCAAACACCTTGACTAAAATTAATTTGACTCGTTTAATTTTCATAAAATTTTGACAAAATATTTACTTTGACCCTTTGACAAAAATATAAAAATTTCAAAAAACTTGAAACATACACTTCATCGGAAAAATTTCATTGGTTATATAGCAGTTTGACAAACGCTAATTTTGATCATTGAGAAGCTTAATATTTCCTTAACAATAGAACGTAATTAAAACGTTCAACTTATTTTCATAAGAGTTATCTCCCTGTAGTGTTATGTATCGCCTTAAGCGTGTCTGATAATTGTCTTCGTTATTGATAAGATAAGTGGCCAACTACTTAAATGAACTCAGTGGAGGGGATAGAAGAATTTGTTAAGCACAATTTTGATCCTGATAATAAATGAAATATAATTTGGAATGTGATTGTTTTAGGGTCCTCTAGTTAAATTATGAAATCTCTTTATATATCTGACCACGCTTCCATTTTTTATTCACAGACTGTACTTCTTATGGGGAAGGCTTTATGCGAACTTACTTACATTACATCAGCAATGGAGCAGGGTTAGATTATGCAAATATTACCCTTGAACAATGTCAACAACATTGCGTACAGAGAAGCAGTCCCATTTGCCGTTCCCTAGTATATGGCACAAAAAGACTACTAGACTGTTATCTATTGACTACTACTCGATTAGATTATCCAGACATCCAATGGCACTACGATTCATACACTTATGAATTTTCATATTACCAACGAGATTGTATTTAGTTATAAATAGTTATATTCTTTACACAACTGAGAATTCTTACATAACACAAAACCTGTGCTGTCTCCTATTTGTACAAACAATGTTATTCTTTATAAACAGTTTGGTTTAACCTGTATTGTTTTATTATTTTAAAATTTTTAGAATTTCGAACAAGAAATGAGAATATATATTCAAAATAGAAATGTTATCGTTTTATAACATCAGTTTTCGAATTGCTCATTTTGGATGCAAATTGTTAAAAAAATGGAGGCCAGACCAGTTTTTAACCTTAACTTGTTACTACGAATATAGGAGCACCTGATTTTTTCCTCGGTATTTTGGTAGCCAACGTTTATGTGGCTGGATATTTTGTTTGTAACGTATGTTGGGCTACGTTAAACTTTCCATTCTCTTCTTATGTCACTGGTGGAGTCAGGTCTTTTTCAACTTTTGATTTTTATTGACTATTTTCTTGTGAATTATTGACTATTTTCATATTACCGACTTTTGAATTATATAATTTTTCAACATGTTACCTAAACTGTGGTCTTTAATCGATAGTAAAGAAAAAGGACTATGAGGAGTTAAATAAATATCACATGAAAGTTCTTCCAGGTCGAACTACAGATTCAGCAGTATACATTCTCTCTGGTCAGTTACCAATTGAGTCTACAATACATTACCAAATATTGATCCGACTCGGAAGTATCCCAAGAAATGACTGCATGCATTGAAAAGGAAAATTGAATTCCTCAGATATTACTTAAAGATGACACTTCGAATAGTTGGTTTATCTATGCAAAGAAATTACTAGACCAGTATGATCTTAGATCCATTTTTACTCTTATTGATAATATGCCTTCTCTAATTATTCTTTGGCAATTTAACCCTTTCCGAACCCATTGTATAAAAAAGTGTAATCATTGTGTGGTTGCCGATGATCTTAGAAGATGATTGGATGAGTTTAAGGGTCATAACTTTTATCAGGGTTGCGTTCAATATCGTAGCGGCCTCATAGGGCTACGTAGATTTATGACTATTGAACGTGTAGCTAGCCTAGCTGCTACATAAATATTGATAGCAGCTAGGCTAGCAACTCGTTCAGTAGGCAAAAATCTACGTAGCACTATGTAGCTGCTACGATATTGAACGCAACCTGGCAGCTCACTGGATGAATTGAAATGTACACAGGTGTTAATGAAATTGACAACTTTGTGGAATGTGGAAGGCACTCAAAGGTGATTTTCGTTTATCAAAAAATGAAAATTTATTTGATTATCATTAGAGAAAAAAATTTTACTTAGTTACTCGTGGATTATCGGATTTATCCAATCTCGATAGTTAACTTATCAAGGCTCGGACTTTAAAATTCGATTATTTAACTTATTATGGGTTTTTCTCATTGTTGAAGGCCACACGGCTGCCTATAATTGCTTACATCCACTTTATTTGAACTTTGGTGTATATTTGTCTCATTGGCAACCATACCACGTCTCCTTATTTTTATATTAGTTTGAGGGCTAGTGCGCTAGTAGTCGATTTTGCCTTTTAGTCATTTTACCTTTTAGTAACAGGTTGATAATTTTTTATTAAGGTTTAAATGGATTAAGTAGAGAAAGCATGTGGCATTAAATTATAAACTACCATATCTTAAATTGATTAATTTTAAGGATAAGTTTTAAGCCTAAGAAAATGTATCTCACATTGATTGGATGTTACACATAGGACGTTTTATAGTGAAAGGCTAACAGAGACAGTTGTTGAACAGTTTGTTTTAAATCACATGAGAAATAGACTCTTTAACTGTGAAGATATGTGATTGGACAAGAAAGACTTTTAAAACCAATAGTAGACTTTTAAATTAAAAGTGCTGTACATTGCGTTTTCTTATAGGTGGTGGGTAAATGTGTATATAACTACAGTAACTTGTATGATGCTGTACTTTATTTTACTGTGTAATGCGAAGACATAAACGTAGGCCCGCACATGCAGAAGAAGTTTTAAACACGTATATATATATAATCCGTTGCTCTGATTATAAAGATATCTTGTGGTGCTCCAGATAGTAGAGGGATTTACTAAAAAAAGAAAGAAAGGTACGACGTCCCGGAACTGTGTCAAGTAAGGACAACCAAAAGAAGTAAATTCAAACATATAATCGGTGCAATTTGGGGGGAAAGTTTACTGTTTTCAGAAAATATAGAACAGTTAATTTTCCACAAATTGCACCGATTGAAAGCTTGATTTAAGTTCTTTACGTTGCTCTTACTTGACCGAGTACCAAGATGTCCTACCAAAGAGTAGGTTACCTGTCGAAAAAATATAAACTCCGGAATCAAAAGTCGGTAAATATGAAAATAATCTATGGCTTATATTTACTATAATGATATGAAATATGTATAAGTATTATCGGTTTCCTCGAAAAACTAAGCTCCCAGCCTATTCATCGTTAATCCTCGACTTCATCGTACAATATTAAAATATATAATTTCAATTATTATAATATGATGATTTTTATAAACAGAAGCAGATACTATTGAATTTCTTTTTGTATTTAGTATCCTGATTGGTGGTTAACTATATCTTTTTGTCTGAAAGTTCATGATATTGAAAATGTATAAAGTATTAATTTTAAAAATTGTTAAATTTGAAGTAAATTTTTAAATGCAATTCATAGAAATGTAAATATAATATATATATATATATATATATATATATATATATATATATATATATATATAAACTGATTAAAGTGGAATATTACTTCGAAGCCGGCAAAGTGACTGGCAGTGTAACTGGGTATTGGTTAGGAGGTTATCTGCATTTGTAGAACCACTGCAGAACAGAAGGAAAAAGCACTCCCAGCAATCTAGAAGGTTATAATCCCAGGTAAAAAATACTCAAAAACAATATTTCATTTGGGCAAAAACAAATTATTTCATTTGCGCCAAAAATACAGGTAAATAGTAAAATTATGATATTTTTTTTTTCTTTTTATATTTATAATTTTTTCGTTTTCCAAAACTACATGTTACACCTTGACACCACTGTAAGCGCAGATGAAATAAAACCTTGAGGCGCAAGTAAAATACAACATTGCAAAAAAATTGTGCAAATGGAATGCACCCACCCTCTTTGATTACTACAGTGGAGATCACTTCTAACCTCTCATTAGAACTGTCAGAATAATCTGTAATAGAACTGTTCTTAACTGTCCTAGAACAGTTCTACCCTAAGTAGAACTGTCAGAATCAGTTCTAGGTAGAACTGTCAGGATCAGTTCTAGGGTAGAACTGTCTAAAACTGTTCTAGGTAGAACTGACCAAATCAGTTCTAGTCGTAGAACTGACCAAACCTGTCAGGATTGTAGAACAGTTCTAAATGACGTCACTGCAGTTAGGGCATCTCACTGGTCACCATTCAGTGTTTTTATTATCGTTGATAAAGCCACACGCAAAATGACTCCTGTCAAAGTTAACAGAATTGAGACAGCGAATATTATATAATATATATATGGATAGAACTGACTAAATCAATTCTATCCGTAGAACTGACCAAATCAGTTCTAATCGTAGAACTGTTCTAGCCGTAGAACTGACCAAAGATTTCAGTGTGATTGTCGGTCTAAATTATGAAAGTACATGTTAGATTTCTTTGCCTGATTTTTGTATTGCTATTACCCCACGGCTTTCTTCTTCAATTCACAGTTGTGATCGTCAGTTTGCAAAGAATTTCGCTCAAACCGATGCTAGGGGCCGTCGTAAACCAGCAGTGAGGTGAGATTTATTTTGCTCCGTGTTGCAGGCCTCAATGTGACTTTGAGATGAAGAACAGCAATATGCTTTTAGTGTGATTTTTTTTTTTGCTGTGCATAAACATATTTTGTGTCATGGATAGATTCCTAATATCCTTTCTTTTCTATTCTAGGAATAGTGTCTGATAAAAAATAAATTCAGTCAAAACTTATACAGTGGAGATCACTTCTAACCTCTCATCAAATCTGTCAGAATCTGTCAGAAGAACTGTTCTAGGACAGTATATAGAACTGTCATCCTGACACCTTTTAGACAGTCCTAACTAGAACAGTTTTAACCTAGAACTGACTAAAGATTTGGTCAGTTCTAGGTAGAACTGTCTAAAACTGTTCTAGGATAGAGCTGTCAGGATCAGTTCTAGGTAGAACTGTCTAAATCAGTTCTAGGTAGAACTGACTAAATCAGTTCTAGGTTAAAACTGTTCTAGTTAGGACTGTCTAAAAGGTGTCAGGATGACAGTTCTATATACTGTCCTAGAACAGTTCTTCTGACAGATTCTGACAGATTTGATGAGAGGTTAGAAGTGATCTCCACTGTATAAGTTTTGACTGAATTTATTTTTTATCAGACACTATTCCTAGAATAGAAAAGAAAGGATATTAGGAATCTATCCATGACACAAAATATGTTTATGCACAGCAAAAAAAAAAAAAAACACTAAAAGCATATTGCTTTTCTTCATCTCAAAGTCACATTGAGGCCTGCAACACGGAGCAAAATAAATCTCACCTCACTGCTGGTTTACGACGGCCCCTAGCATCGGTTTGAGCGAAATTCTTTGCAAACTGACGATCACAACTGTGAATTGAAGAAGAAAGCCGTGGGGTAATAGCAATACAAAAATCAGGCAAAGAAATCTAACATGTACTTTCATAATTTAGACCGACAATCACACTGAAGCGTGCAAAAACAAAAACAATACAAACATTTAGACAACCACGGGGCACACCAAAGGCCTTGTATGCTATCACATGTTTTCCTGTAATCTGTCGGCAGATCAAAGAATATAATACTAGTCATTCAAGGAATACACAATTTGAAATTTAAACATTCACGGAAAATTAAATGTGGGTTATTGAGTGACAGAATATCATCGATATATCTCAAAGTGAAATTACAGAACTTGGCGAGATGTTAAACTAGACTTAGTATTTAGGAAGATTATTATCAAAGACTCTCCAACTCGTGTTAACAATATAAGAATAAGAAGACGTGGCATGATTGCCAATGAGACAACTCTCCACCAAAGACTCAATAACATGGAAGTTAAGAACTCGGTGTCCAGTATGTTTAGTATGTGGTACATAGTCAATTAAGATTGAAGTCCAGCGCACCTGCCACGTGCGGGATTCGTACTCACAACCTCAGTGTTGACAGGCTAGTGATACAGTTATTCGACTACTTAGACCACTCTGCCACCGAGCCCCCCCCCCCCTTTTAAGAAGCCTTCACGATGAAAATATTCTAGAATCACGTGTTGTTTGTTGTACGCATGGAAACACAGCCGATGCAGGTTTTGTTTTACAGCGCTTGCGTACAGAATTTGGATTATTTGTTTTTTTTTTGTTTTTTTTTTTTTCATTTTTTGCACTGAATATTCAATGTTTTATTTTCATACCACAAACTGAACACTATTAAGCTTTTCGTAACTTGTTTTGGATGAATTTATACACTCTGAAAATATTCCTTATTTCGCTATCCATACTTAAAAAACAACAAGACAGCTAACTCGAGGCCATTTTAGTTTAAACTTGGCTTTACGTGCTCGGAAGGTTTATTAAGAGAAAAGGGAAATAGCTTTTCCCAGATTTTTTTAGGAACAATTTTTCCAGTTCGAATAAGACGAATAAAAAGTAGGGACGAGCTCGAAAATGCCCGGAAAAGATTATTTTCTTTAGGTAAAAGTTAGAAAAAGTAACCTCCCCTGCATTAATAATACCTTTTCATTGTTACGACATGAATAGTCGTAAATTACAAAATTCTAAACACAATATATAATAACTAACAAAAGGTCACCGCCTCATGGCGGGACTATCCATTTGATATTTATACATCTTTTACATGAGTACCTTCCTCCTTGTGGAAATGAATATTAACATTACATGTGCATATATGTTTCATTAGAATCCGTAACATTGATTGGCTGACAATACATTTTATTATACTTCACGTAAAAATGCAATATTTTGATTGGCTTATACGAGGGTGTTAATATACTCTATTCTATGGTAAATACTCTATTACCCTTCACGGAGACGCTTGATCAAGTGTGCGCTTTATTAAATAAGACTCTATCCTATGGCAAATACTCTATTACCCTTCACGGAGACGCTTGATCACGTGTGCGCTTTATTAAATACGGATGGTTGTTATGTACAAGACGTCATAGTTTATTACTTTGAATTTGAAATTTAATCAACAGTAATAACATAACATTCAGTATAATAAATTAAATAGCACATATCTGAGAGGGTGATAAAGCAGATTGTTACTCCTCGAAAAGACATTGTCAACCTTGGCTTCGCCTCAGTTGACAATGTTATCTCGGGGTAACAATCTGCTCTATCACCCTCTCAGCTATGTGTTATTTATATATTATTTCCTTACAAAATACTACAGCTATCACTGCATGTGCTATCCGTGACAAAATTAAATTAATGATTAGAAAAAAAATCTGAAATGTTTGATAAAACTCTCAAAATTTCATTGTTGAAGCATAAAAATATTATAAAAAGAATTGGATGCTTTTTATAATTTACAGGTTTGTAAAAGAGTTGATCATGCGCAAATGTTTAGATGCGCTTCATACAAGATGTGCTTCATTCAAAGCTTTTACATCTCAATAGATTATAAAAAGAAACATTCGATTCTTAAATGAGTACGAAAAAAGGGCTTTCTTAGTCTGCGTCCCTGTGGTGCTGAGGGATATGTATAACAGGGGAAATTGGAATTATATGCATATGTGTTTAAAAAAAAAAGTAATTGAGACAGCTTGAAACGGTATCAACCATCAATTCTTGAAGTCGATAGTATAACATTTGAAGTGTTGATTTCAGGTGTTCTTCCTTCCAATCCTTCAAATTTAAAAGCTTTTCGTTGTTTGCGAATATGCCGTTATCTTGTGAAAAATATCCATTACCACAACAGCAAGTTGACTAACACCAAAGAAACAAAAGCCAAAATAAAGGAGCTGGAAAAAACCCCAACAAAAACATGTATTGAGACAAGGAGTTCTTCAAATATTTATTCAGTCATTGATGGGGAACAGTTGGCTATTTCAAGAATATGAACATATGTTTTGATAAATCAACCATAGGAGGCTGTACAAGAAATTCTAAAATTTAGATACAGTATTATGCATTACATTTTGTAAGATGTTTCAAAGATAATTGGCATAGTGTAAATGCTATAAACAACTGAAGGCAGGGAATGCAACAACTGTTCTGACACTTTGTGAGTGCTCTAACCAATCAATCCACTGGCTAACGGATCCATCGCATTGCTATTAGTCATTCGGAAACCATTACCTCTCATTCTTCTCCTTCTGAGGAAGTCACGTGACAACTTGCTATTCACTGTACGTTTGATTTGTCTTTCATCTTCTGTTTCATTTTCACTGTAGTTGTCGGTGTAATTTTGAAATTTGTTGAGGGACCATAGCAATAGTTGATATATATCAATTGGCGATGTCAATTTCTCCACTTTATCAGGGGACCTTTTTACAGCGTTGACAGCTTCAACATCTTTGACCCATCCATGTGCAAGACACAAACTGTCAAGTAAGCAACATAAATTTAGTTGTATATAACATTGGATAAAAATGATTGTTTTAGAAGTTTAGTGTTTATTTCCTTTTACAACTGATCAGGATAAAAGGGCCAAGACTGAGTACTAAAGAGTAACTAACATTTTAGTGCCTGTCTTTAATCAATTCTCGTTAGTGGTTACAGCTTGCTGTAATGCTTTTGTCCTAAATTTGGTGTTGATGCCTGATATTCAGTGATTTAAAATACGGTGAATTTATAGCTTATCATACGCCTTTGATGGTATGCCATTTTGACCTCCACATGTCTATTTTTGTTTGTTATTGTCTCATCAAGGATTTCCCCATGCATATATTTTTTTGTTCACAATTAATAAGTAAGGATATCAATTGTCTTGACATAAACGTAGATCAAAATCCCATTAAATTCTAGATTTTTGTTTCTCTAATTCTTTGGCAATTTAACCCTTTCTGGTCCCATTGAATAAAAAAAAACTTTAATCAACGTGTGGTTGCCGATAATTAGCTGAGTTTGAGGGTCATAACCTTTATCAGCTCACTGGATGAATTGAAATGTGCGTGTTACAGAAATTGACAACTTTGTGGAATGTGGGAGACACTCAAGGGGGATTTTCGTTTATCTAAAATGAAAATTTATTTGATAATCATTAGAGAAACAGATTCGTACATAGTTACTTGTTGATTATCGGATTTATCCGATCTTGATAGTTAAATTATCCATTTTAAAAACTCGATAATTTAACTATCTCGATGGGATAAAACCGATAATCCACTGGTACCAATGTAAGAATCTATATTTTACTTAATTTAAAATTATAACGATAGTGATAAATGACTCCATACTGAGTCTTAATGAGAAATAGTTCAAATATGCTTGTAGGAGGGTAACATAGTTTACACGTCTTCATATAGAAGAAAAAAAGATAAAATCTGTAGATACTTTTTTAAGTCCTAACTGGATTAGTAAGATGGTATTCATAATCATCTAACTAATATAATATAGAAGTTATAAATGTGAAATGCCGATTAACCAGTACTAACTGTAGTAATACAAATTTCGCGATAAGTGTCAATTGTAGATGAATCATTGACACTTTTAAGGAGAGGCTGCTATTCGGCAATAATTACCTATTGTACGTGATATTTTAAAGTTTAGTTTATGTTGCAGTAAAGCTCATCGATGTAAACTTAAATGTAGAAGCATTTACATGAAATCAATGCAATGCATTATAATTAAATAAATGTTATCATTGATTAGGGTTAAACAGTCTGCATAATATACTTGTCCCCATACCTAGACACGGCTTTAAGTCTCCGGTCCGATTCGGCTACTTTTTTGTTTTTATTTCGAAATGCTGCCTGTTTTGTGAACATAATAAAGCAAATACCAAAGTTCATTGATCCAGTCGTGGCCAAACGCACAACTCCCTGTACTTATGACAAGCACGTAAACATAAAACTAGCGAGGAGTTTAAAAATTGAAAAATTGTGACTTTGCCTCCATTTCCTTTCGTAAAATTTGACTCCTTGAAAAAAACTAAAACTAAGATGTTAAAATGAGAGACGTTCACTGAAATCTTAAGACTTTAAAATAAATAAATGTATAAAAATGAATTATTATATCCATCTATAGATAAAAGGAATATTTCCCGACATGCAAACTGAAATGGAAAAATAGACAGAATACAATAAGAACACTCACCATGAGGTTGCCACTATAAATAGAATATAATCTGTTTTCATCTTAATCTGAAATAAGAATTTAAGATATTACATATATATATATCAAACAGCTACAAAGCTGTGTTTGAGACAATTAAAAGAACCAAGCTAGAAATTTAAACGCCGTAACCAATTATCACTTTTTCACTATTTTAAAGTTATCATTAACACCTTCCATCTCGTAAAACAAACTCATGACATTCTGTTAATGTCGTCATCAATTTACTACCGTTCCTTAAACTTTACATATTATGTGTTCCTTTTAGATTATCAATGATTCAATGAGAATACAGGAAAATCGAAGTTAAAAATTGAAGGACTGCAAAAATTCAAGTCCCAATATGAATAAAATACCACATGAATATAGCTCATACCCAAACAAATAGTAATATTGTTAATTTCTAATCATGTCATCGAATTAATAACGCCTGAAAATATCCGAAAACCGCAATTTTGAAAGATTTAGGCAAGTTTGAGTTTTATCCCACAAAAAGCGTAAGAAGGACATCGTTAACAAAATAAACATTTTGCTTATTTTCAAACTATGTATTTTCCTCCGGATACACATTTAATTCTTTTGGTTAGCGACGTCCTTTGATACAAACTTTGACAAAAACGCGTAAAATGATGAATTGTGTATTATAATGCTTCAACAGCAGTAAAGGGCTAAGAAGCAAGATTGTCAAAATTAATGATAGCTCATGTATATGATATATATATAGACTCTTTTTAAAATGTTCAGTTTCCAGTATGATTTTACAACTTTTAGAAATGATCATGTGAGTTAAACAAATACAGGCGTGATGGGCTCTACACCTTTGATGACTTATTTCCCAGGTAGTTTACTGTATTGTATGAATAGTCTTGATTGTGTGAAATGAAATTGGAATAGAGACAGGACGTTTGTTTCAGTATATTAACCATTATCCTACCTCCTATTCATTTCTAGGAATATGATTTGTTAAAAGCAACCACGTGGAGACCGTGTATATTTCATATGGGGTTAGTAGTGCTATTACGTCCCTTTGTAAAATCAACACGGTGTTGAGGATAAATCTGAAAGGTTTCAACAGACAAAGAAATTGATGATGAACGATTGTAATAGATTCATAAAACAAATTTAAAGCTAACAAGTTGTTATTGTTGGCATTTGTTTTTATATAGACCAATGGAAGTAGGTTCTTAATACTAAGTATTGAAGACTTAATCACTTTGATAGGCCAATAGTCTAAATACCACATGTTAAGATAGTCGGTAAGATAAATTCGTTACACAGCGTGCTATAGTGACCTAATACGATATATATGGGTCAGTAAATTCCATATGGGGATTCGAGCTTCGTTCTCATCCCATATGGAATTTACTGACCCCATATATTATATATCGTATTAGATCACTAGCACACTGTGTAACTAATAGTACATGTTGTTTATTCTTGTTATATCCACACGTATATATAAATATAAGAAGAGGAGGCATGATTGCCAATGAGAGAACTTTCCACCAGAGACAAACTGACATAGAAGTGAAAAACTATAGGACACCATACGGCCCCCAACAATAAGCAAAGCCCGTACCGCATAACAAGATATTAATGAACTTCAACATGACAAATGTAAAGCAATTCAAACGAGACAAGTAACGGCCTAATCTATAATCAAAACACTAAATAAAAAACAAATATGATATACAGGAACGGACGACAACCAATGAATTACAGGCTCCTGACTTGACTTATTATATCGACACAAAGTGCACAAAAAAAAAAAAAAAACAACAACCTAAAAGGCTTAAGCCACAAAGTACCGATCTGAGAGTACTCGGTTTTACTGAAAGCTAGTTCAAAGCCAATAACAACAAACATGTTTCCAAGACTAAAATATGAATCAGTTAACATCTAATGGATTCAGTGTAAAGGCGTCATAAACAGTCAAGAAACAAACATAATCTTGTGTAATGCCAAATAGTAAGTATCGAATGCAGGACAGTACATGTTCATAGCTGTATATAACAATAATATTAAGTTCTTATTTATTATTTAAAAAAAAAAAAAAAAATGTTTGTGCCACTCAACTAACTAGGCTATATAAAACGATTGTTCGTTAGTCAAGTAATGCCTTTCCTCGTTGATCGATCGACAGAGAGATATAATAATGGATTTTGAACATCAAGTTTTATAATTAATTTGGGTATTCCCTCATTGAAAATGACTCCAGCGAAATTGTGTCATAATTATGCTATGTAGCATTAAATGCATACTATAAAATATATAATTTGTTATCTTACCTCAAGTTTCCTTTTATTTTGTCTTCTCAGTTCAAAATACTAGTAATACAAGGTTGATTAAATTGTCTTCATCATTTTTATACAGAAAAATACGCAACCAATAGTCGTCAGTTTTAACCTTTCGGCCATTGTTTTAATTATAAGGTGTGGATATTTTGTCGAAAAACATACGGTTAAGGCAGATGTTCTTGGATTAACTGTGAAACATGTCATTTCAAATGCGCAGTCAGTTATAATTGCGTCAACAAATTAAAACGATGTCTTCAACCTTTGCCAACATTTTGAAAAATATACATTCAACCTTGTATGACAACAAACAAAATACAATGGATGTTATTATAACAATCAATTATCAACTACAGTCAGTATTTTAAAGATTTGAAAATTACTCCTCAAAATTAAAACAACAAAATTATGTTGTATACATAGTAAACATGAAATTTGAAAAAAATAGACAAAAATAATACACTATAATTAAGGAATGACTGTAATATTTTTTCTGTCTATTCGAAATAACATCAAAAATGTGGTGCACACTGAATAACCCGCGTAGCGGGTTATTTTAAAGTGTGCACCACATTTTGTTTATGTTATTTCGAATAGACAGAAAAAATATCACAGTCATTTCTTATAATTTAATCCTTAATTCCATTTTAACCGGAGTAAATTATGAAAAACGTTGATGACGTCAAGGTCACATGACAAAATTATGTCTATGAGCAGATAAACAAAACAACGTCAGCCAATCGGAAGACGCTTTACATCCAAAATTAAATTATCTCTTAAAACACGCAACATTGTGATGTTCTCATGACATAAACGGTACCTATTTTACTGCACCAGATGCGCATTTCGAGAATAAATGTCTTTTCAGTGATACTCGAAGTCAAGATATTTCAAAATCCAATACCTAACTAAATACGAACTTAAAAAAAAACAAAAAAACATACATACATTAAGAAAAATATGGTTAAAAATTGTATTTGTGAATTTCTTTCTTTATAAACTTTGCTCACTTATGACATGTTGCTAGTCACCAAGCTAGGAAGTGTATACAATCTGAGTCACTTTCTATATTTTTTTCGTACACTGCGGAGCTGTTTCTTAGAATTGGAATAGATTTGGTAAAAATTAAAACACTTTGACAAAATCGCATAGGTTTCTAAACATTTAGACATAGAAAAAAAGAGTGCAGGCTTTGACAAAGTAAATATTTATGTCAGATATGTAAAATGTTAAAAAACATATATTATATAATATTAAGATCTTTTTTGTCGACGCATGCGCTCTTATGTTTCCAGTAAAAAAAACAATGGAAATTTACTTGTTTTCATTGAATTTTTGGGGAAAAAATGTGTGCTATTTATGATTTTCATGTCCAGGCATTGTTTTAGCTATGATTCATTGTGATATTGATCAATATATCCTAATTTGAAATTTGTGCTAGAAAAAAGGACCATTTAAGGGCCTTATCGAACCTCTTGCTTTAGAGGAAAGCACGACAATTTTGACCAATCAAGAACTGAGATGATAAAAAACCACCGTTGATTATAAACTCTGATGGATAGTTGTCTCATTAGCAATCATACTACATCTCCTTATTTTCATAATGATTTGTTTTCTGAAAAATTGCTTTGGTCAGTCTGTTTTTTTTTCTAATGATATTTGTACTTTTTTCCATTAATATGCAGCAGACTGCTAACGAATATCTTGTATAATTCATTGCAAAAACATATGCCACACAAATAAAAAAATCTGTTGATCGGTTGCTGTCTCATTGAAATATATTCCAAAATCTCCTTACATTTAAAAAAAAAAAAATGGAGACAACATAATATCTATGAATGTATAATTATAGTTATGTTTTTCGTGTACATTAATATAAAAATAGGGAGATGTGGTTTAATTGCCAATGAGACAACTATCCACCAAAGTTTATAATCAACGCGTGGTTCGTTTTCATCTCAGTTCAAATGAAGTGGATGTAAGCAATTATAGGCAATCGTACGGCCTTCAACAATGAGAAAAACCCATACCGTATAGTCGGCTATAAAAGGCCCGACATGAAAAATATGAATCAATTCAATTGAGAAAACTAACGGCCTAATTTCATGAATTTATTACAAAACAATTTACGAAAAACAAATATGACAGACTTTAATCAACGATAACCATTGAACTCTAGACTGAACGGAATGTGGCGGGGTTAAACTTGTTTGCTGGTGCCAAATCATCCCCCTAACAAACTATAAAAATCAAATGAAAAGGGGTTAACTCGACAGATCGATACAAAGCAGAAAACATCTAACGAAAACACTGACCGAACGTGGAAGCGTATCTATACATCCCACAACAAAAAAAGACACAAAGTAAAGATCTGAGAGTACTCGCAGTTACTGGCAGGTAGTTCAAAGCCAATAACAACTAATACATAAATCATGTATCTAAGACTAACATATCAATCAGTACATTTTCAACACTTAATGGATTTAGTGTAAATACGTCATTAACAGTATGAGAAAAACATAACCTTGTGAAATGCCAAAATATAGGTATCGACAGATTGTAGTTCCGTGAATGTGCATATGTGTATAACAATAATATTTAGTATGAATCAATATTCATACCAGTAAAACAATATTCAAAGATCTAATTACAGTCCTGAATTGGTAACCTTTTAGAATAAGTTTATTTAATGGATTAATAAGTTTACCCGGATCGTATCTAAATTTCCGGTCTCGGTTTACAACATCCCCGTAAATATTAGGATGTGCTTTTCCGTTTGATATATGTTTTCTACAGGTACAGCCAAACTTTCAAACCACATTTTTGTATCTGTGGAAGAATTAAGTAATTTGATAACAAAATCCTGACTTAATAACCTACCAGTAATACATAGATTACGTTCATTGAAATCCAAAACGTCACTAAAGACATGTGCATAGCGAACGAGTTGTGATATATAAACACCGTAAGACGGTGCCAAAGGAATATCACCGTCCAAAAAAGGAAAATTAACAACAGGGAAATCGTCCGTATTGTTGTAAATTTTTGTGCAGAGTTTCTCGTGTAAAACTAAAATATCTAAATCTGTAAAAGGAGAGTTATTGCTGTTAATATTTGATATATTTAAAGTAAGTTCTTTTGGGTAAATTTCGGTAGTATATTTAGATAATTATTGATTATTTAACGAAAAGATATCATCAAGATAACGGTAAGTGTTGTTGAATTTATCAATTTAATTGAATTTAGACGGCTCTTTACTGAGTTTGGCAATACACTGTGATTCATAACAGTACAGGAACAAGTCTGATATTAAAGGGGCACAATTGATGCTCATAAGAATACCTACAACCTGTCGATAAACTTTAGTGCCGAAACGTACATACATGTTGTCGAGGAGAACATTTACAGCTTTAAATATTCCACCTCACTTCCAGTAAGTACATCTTCCATATTTACATTTCTCATTAAAGAAAAGGGCTTTATATGAGATGAGCAAATACATTTGCAATGATCGGATTTATCAAACGACCATTAAATTAAATAGGAAAACTTGCGTTTGATAAGACTGTGTGGAAGTGTAGTATAAAAAGTGGAATAGTCAAAACTGTCAACCGAATCAAAAAGACCATCAAAACCACGTAATTTATCCAAAACATCTTAAAAAAAATTTTTACACTTCAAAAATATTTAATTCCACTGTAAATAATAGTGAATTAGGTTTACGCAAAAAAGTATTAACAAAAATACCGAACTCCAAGGTAAATTCAAAAAAGGGGAGGTCGATCTATAAAAACTGACAAAATCAAACTTTTACTATATCAACCAACGGAACGGATGGACAACATCTGTCATATTCCTGACTTTGGAACATGCATTTTCTGAAGAAAATGGTGGCTTAGAACGGTTCTTTACGGAAAAAAGTATAACAAAATTATCGAGTTTTTTAGAACTTTGCCCTTGTTTACTTTACCTTGAGGTAAAGTAAATAAATGGAAAGTGAAAAAAAACAAAAAAACTGACAAAATCAAACGTTACTACAGACTTTGTCAACCAACGGAACGAATGGAAAACAACTGTCATATTCTTGACTTGGGAACAGGCATTTTTCGAAAGAAAATGGTGGGGTAACATGGTTTTAAAGCTAGCTTAACCTCCCACTTGTATGACAGTTGTTTATATTTCCGTTATATTGACAAAATTGAGTGAGAAACCCAAACAGACATAATAGGTTAATGTAAAATTAATTGGGATCCAGCAGCCAAAATTGTGTAAACATACATCACACATATACAACACATACCACCTTAGTTTTATAAAAAAAAACGTTAATAAACTGGAAATTTAGAAACAAACGCTTTATAACGAAGTAACAGACAGAATATTATTTATTTCAAAAATTTAGAACAGGAACTCGCGGAAACGACCGCCATAGAACATTTTTTCAAACATATTAATTCGTTCAATTTACATTGGGAACAAGTGGCGAATCATACAGCTGAGTGAAATTCCTAAGATAAAACGAAAACTGAAATGGGTTACTGCGCATATGCAATAGACAAAATGTGAAAAAGAAAGATATAAATTCACTAGTACAAAATTAGCACATACTTACAACTTCTCGTCCAATCAAATTGTCACAATTTGCCTTCTAATTTTCATAGTACATACCTTTTCCGTGTACTAAGTAACTACGCATGATTGACCACAAGGGTAAGATTTCATTGTATCGTAATCAAGATATTTAAACAAAAATTGCCACTGGCTATTTTGAAATAAAATGCTGTGTTCCAAATTAAATCAAATAGTTGGTAATATAGTTTTCACATTGACTTTTAAATATCCTGCTATTAAAATCTTTGGATCTAAAAAATGTTTTTGACGATTGCAAGTTTCTTTCATTTAAATAAAGAGTAACAAATATGGTTCTTTATACCTTGATTAGAATACAACGCCATCTTAAAATTGTGATAATTTATCATCCATGCAATTACTTTGTACACAAAAAAGTGTGTACTATGAAACCTTTTGAAGGGAAATTAAGGCAACTTGATCTATTTCGTCATGAGTTGATTTATTGATTGATTA